TGACGTCACGAGCCCTGCTGCGTTGCTGGCCTTTACTGTAACAAAATATCCCTGATTGTCCTTTAGCTCCAAAGCAGTAAACTCAAAATCTTTACGCAAACCAGTTCTGGTAAATTCGTGTATATCGTCTCGGGATGGCCTGGTTCCTATGCCAATTTCATAAAATTCTACAGGGCTTTCATTGTCTGCAAATCGTTCCCAAGATAGTTTAAGTGTATCGGAATGAGACTGATAGCTTCGTCGAGGTAGTGCCTCTTCAAGTCTGGTATAAAATGGCGGGGTGTCATCTATGGTGAAAGGTTTTGAATAAACTGTGGTTGGTAGTCCTGCATAGTTGATGGCCTTAAATACTATGGTATATGTTGTTCCGTGCGGCAGGGTACGAAGTGAAATGTCAGACTGGACTTGGGTTGAGTTAAAAGTATAGTTCAACACGGATGTATTAGATTGCATTACTGAAATTTCATATATTTCTATTCCGCTTTCCATATCCTCAAAATCGAACCAGGTTACCCGTGGGTTCTCGTCAGAACTGAAATAGGTTTTTACAGTCCCCGTATGTGAAGTTACCAGGATGCTGCCAGCCCGAGGTGGAGTGTAGTCAAAAAGGAGTGGTGACGAGCAAGCACGTGATACGAGGCCGGCTCGATTTCGCGCTACCACTGTAACGTAATAAGGAACGCCAGACAGGAAGTCCAGGTCACTTCCTGTGGTGTTGGCACTGGTTGCTAAACCAATGTTTATGAGCGGTTGAACCTGGGTACCGCATTTAGATGTCCCTATCGCCCACTTGTAGTACCATATTTCACTTTCAGGTTCCTTGAAATCCCCCCATGTCACGTATATCCCCGAGGCAGTAGATGAATAATAGGTCCCAGTCTCCTGGATGAAACGCCACTTCCATCCCAGCGTAATGTCACTCGGCACGGGGGGAGTGGTATCAATAGTGACTCCATTTGATCTCAACTCACGCACACCCCCGGCTCTGTTGTACACGCGCAGGAATACCGTGTAATTATGACCATGTTGTAGAGATAACACTTTTTTAGTTGTCACGTGAGTTTGCAGACCTACATCAACAAAGTTCAACACAGATCCCGGATTCTTTTCCCCAATCCCCCATTCGAATCTTTCCACTCTGCTTTCCAAATCCCAGATTCGTTCCCAGTTCGCGCTCATCTTTGTCGTGGAAGACTGGTAACGAACATCCGGTTCTAGTATCCCATCATGCACCGCACCGGATGTTGAAGGGGTTGGATCAATAAGTACTCCATCCGAAGCTAGGCATGACTTTAATTCTGCGTTATTTATAGCACACACTATGACGTAATACACGTCTTTGTACAAACTTAGCCCAGATATCTTTGCTAACGTGTTTTGGCCAACGTCTATGAATGACGTCACATCCGGTTCGCCAACCCGATTCCGACTGACTGCAACTTCGAAATGGTTTATCCCCGAGTCGTGATCTTGGATCCCGGTCCAAGTAGCGGACAGCTCCCCCCTGCTTGACTGATAATCTATATCATCATCGCCACTACCGTCTAATACCATCGCCCGTTTCAGATCAGGGGGAGTCACGTCAACTATGAATCCGTCCGAGGAGACAGGCTGAGTTTGAACGCCGGCTAGATTTTCTGCTTTGATTTTAATACAATATTTTTGACCGTTGACCAGACTCAGTCCTTGTATTCCAAACGTGGTAGCCGTGGCTGGATTAACCGGTATAAACTGGTTATTAGTCACGTGATAGTTTCCTTTGATGCAGCTACCGACGGCAACGAAGTAAGCTCGGACTTTAACGTTCGGTATTTCAAAACCCTTCCAAGTCGCGTAAATTTCGGATGCGTTTGTTTGGTAATCGATATCTATCGTCGGGTCCTGGCCGTCCGACACCGTACCGAGATCGGGAGCTTCACTTAAGGGAATGAGTAGAGGTGATTTTATGTCGGCATAAAGACCAGCGTTGTTGATGCCACGTATAGTCAGTTGATATTCTTTGTTGTTTTTTAGCGAAAGTGATCTAAATTGAAACAAAGTAGGAAGAATTAAACAATGTTATTTGAAGATGGCAAAGGTTCTCGAAGAGGTTCTCTCTTCGCCTCGACATGCTATGGCACTCTGGCAAATCTCAGAAAAATTTAGAACTTTACGACTGGTCTCTCTTCGTTAGCTTAACGCGTTTTACGGTCAAATGCTGAAGTCATTGTATGTTACCTCTTGTCTCTAATACTTTTCAAGATTGTTCAACCGCATTACTTAATTTGTACCAGCTGATATCAAATCATGCACAGATCATAGAGCCTTCTCTAGACAAAGTTTTAAGATTTTAAAGCGACGCTGTCTTACTATTTAGTTGTGATGCTTATAGGTTTACAATTTTTTTCTATTTTCATGCTTGGATGTTTTAGTATAGTTTTATCAGGCGAAGAGCCATTTTACGGAAATGCTGATAATAAACCATTATTATTATGATTATTATTATTATTATTATTATTATTATTATTATTATTATTACAGTGAGTGGTAGTGATTCATCTGCTGAATTTGTCAATTCGGTTATTATTTATGGCGTGATATGGCACCGAAGAGAAAAGGGTTGGGTAAACTAAATTTTGAGTGAGTAAAAGGTTGGGTAAATGAAAAACAAAACAACTCAAGGGTTGGGTAATGAAAAATTATTGTCAATTATTCACCGAAATGCAAGGATATTCATTGGGAGAAATTGTTATACCATAACAAAACAAACATCATCAAAAAGCAACGAAAATAAACAATTTGTGTCACAGCTCCCGCAATACTGTAGTTGTAAAGAAAACATTTGCAAGCATTTGGTAGTTTTATTTATTTGAAATAGTTTTAAAGAATAGCTCTACACACTGTTAAACAAAACTTTGTAGCTTTCTTTGTGTTCGGAGAAACTGAAGCTTGGTTTAGTAAAATATCTGCTCGTCTGTTATCGGAACAAAACGCGAAGACATATTGTTTTTGTCCGAAGGTGAATAGTGCAAGGATAACCGATGCTGAACAATCAATGAAATTGCGGGAAAACCACTTTCCACCTCCCAAATATATGCTAAAGCAGCTTATTTATAGTGATTGCTTGGCGATAAGCTAGACATCCAAGTTGCTTCTCACCTTATAATGGCTTTGGTAGCAAGTTTAACTCCAGGTACATTTTTCCACGATGTTGGCTGCACATTCTTCTCGACAACAGTCCATTGATATTTCCTCATCCCGCTATGATCGTCCACAAACTGTGGCCAGGAGACTTTCACGAAGTCTTTATCTCTGATATACACCACTGTCTCGCCATTTGTTTGAGCTGTCTCACCCTGGACGCTCAAACTGCCCGTATAAACTGGACGGCTTATATCGATAAGAATTCCGTCTGATTTGACTTCAATGTAATGTCCGACTTTATCAACTGCTCGTACTGTCAGATAGTACGTATTGCCACTTGAAAGGCTTAACCCTGTAATAGTGGTTTTAGTTTGAAGACCAGCAGAAGCCCATGACGTAATATCTTTGTTATTCTTATCCGTTAATTTGTATCTATATTCCGCAAGTCCGCTACCCTTTTGCCCGTCGTCAAATCCATTCCAGTTTGCGTGGAATACGTTGTCCGCCGATTGATAGTCGATGTCTTCCAAGGTTCCATCATTGACCGTGCCAGGTCGCGGTGCAGAGTGGTCTATGAGGAGGCAGTCGGAAGAAGCCTGGGTACTAAGACCGGCCGCGTTGACCCCTTCTACAATAGCGCAATACTGGACCCCGGAGGTTAGAGTCAATCCCGACACTTGACCGGCACGTCCCAAACCGACCGATGTCAACCCAGGCGAAACCAATGCACCATCTTTTCTTTTCACAGCGAGCTTGTACTCGACAATAGGTGTATGAGCGTCCGTGAATTGGGTCCAACTGGCATCATAGGTCTTAATCCAGCTAGCATACTTGAGATCAGAAGACGGCCCGTCGGAGACCGTCCCTGGTTTAGGCTTGGAGGTATCGACCGTCACTCCATTGCTGAAAATTTCCGTATAAAGACCTGCCTTTGTAAATGCTCTGACTCTTGTGATAATTTTACTGCCATCTGTGATTACTGAAAATGTTTTGGAAAAAGATGCTTTGAGGTTAACATTAGTAAAAGATTGTAAGACAGTGTTTTTATGGTACACAGCTATCTCGTACTTTGCTATACCATGACTTGTTTTAAAACCACCCCAGGTCACACTGATCGTTTTACTTGATTGGAATTGAACGTCTTTCGTGCCCAGGCCATCGCGAATCCATCCTCCACTCGGCCTGCTAGTATCTATGGTAACCGCGTTGCTACATACAGGCAACCCAAACTGTCCACGAATATCGTAAGTTTGTACAACTACTTTATATGTCTCGCCGTTCTGTAAAGTTAACCGGCTAAGGACGTGGTTGTTTGTATTAGTCAGGTTACCGGGGTTTTTACCAGGAGTACAGCTGTTCTTGCTTTTGCGTAAAGACCATTTTATAGTGAGGGCACCACATGTGACTGAAAAACCAGTTAGTTTGAGGAAGAATTTGTCCGTGGTTGGTTGGTATGCGATGGAACTTGCGAAGTTTGAAAGAGTTAAAGCAGATTGCCCTTCTTGAAGTTTAATTGCGTCGACAACTCGTGGTGGACATGTCCCCAGTGCACCGTTACATCTGTGAAGGAGAAATTAGACTCTGAATTATTTTACCTTTGGTCATGTTATTTTGACTTCTTGTTACCTACCATAGCGGACACTTCGCGAAATATTGACGAGGGCGGGGGAGCGGGATCTAGGTTGCCAACATATTGCCACCTTTTGTTGCTGAAACTTTTTGTTTTAAATTCCATGCAATATTTTCCGGAAATATGGCTAGGAAACAATGTTTCCTGGTTTGTCCACCTTCAGGAAACATGGCTAGGAAACAATGTTTCCTGGTTTGTCCACCTTCAGGAAACATTGCTATCAAACAATATTTCCTGGTTTGTCCACCTTCGGGAAACATAGCTATAAAACAATGTTTCCTGGTTTGTCCACCTTCAGGAAACATGCCTAGGAAACAATGTTTCCTGGTTTACACACCTTCGGGAAACATAGCTATGAAACAATGTTTCCTGGTTTGTCCACCTTCAGGAAACATGGCTAGGAAACATTGTTTCCTGGTTTACGCACCTTCGGGAAACATAGGTAGGAAACAATGTTTTCTTGTTTTCATGCATGTTTACCGAACTGACCTCTCACCTTTCAGGTTGATCACACTTATCCACAGCTGGACGACATACTGTCCCTTTGGTTCGCATGATATCCCTGCAAGTACTGTCGCCCACACACTCAGAGCGTTGTATGCAACTGATCTGGGGGTAGGATGATTGACAACTGTATGCCTTGCCCACACATCGGCCGCTTTGGCAGAGATCTTGTTTCGTACAGGCGTTGCCATCGTTACAAGAGACCGCGGGTCTGTTGGTCCATACAGAGCTTGATTTGGAAGCTTTGTCATACAGGTCGCACCATTGACATTCATTGCCTGGGTTTAGCTGTTGATGGTTGTAATATTTACCTGTTACCAAGAAATGTAAGTTTGACTTTAATTGACCCAGTCAATAATTTTGTGTGTTTATGTGGGATGCCACCCAGGCGACACATTTACGAAATCGCAGGAACGCAGTTTCGATTCCTGCCAGAGGGGTTATAGCTGCATATTTCGCAGCTGCTCCTAATTAGGTCGTAATAAATATATAAAATTGTATATATATATATATATATATATATATATATATATATATATATATATATATATATATATATATATATATATATATATATATATATTTATATGTGATAAAACACTCCTACGCGTGCTTTAAATAGTATATATAAAATTGTATACTGTATATATATATATATATATATATATATATATATATATATATATATATATATATATATATATATATATATATATATATATATATATATATACTGTATATATATATATATATATATATATATATACAGTTTTTATATATCACCATTTTTATACCATCAAAATTTAAAATCATCTTCAGACCACTTTCACTAAACTAAACTAACTTTCTTTATCCCGGGTATCAGTTCTTTCTAGCCTGTTCTCCATTAAGAGCCATATTGTTCCAATGTTAGGTTGGAAGAAGACTAAGCTTATTTATACTCGATAGTTTTATCGGTTCTAAACTGTTCTCCCTAGAGGTCCAGTACGAGTCAATCCTTATTATTACAGTGTTAACGTAAAAAGAAACTTAAACTAATTTTATTTATACTGGATAGTTCTATCAGTTTTAATATGTTCTTCTTGTTCTGAGGTCCAGTAAGGGCCATCTCATGTTGATCCAGTGTTACTACAGGAGGAAACCTAAACTAAAGTAACTTTATGATATTTTCGTATGTGTTTTGATGTTATGTACTTAGGTAAATATAATGTTTTTGATGTTACTCTGAGTGTATATTTACACCGGGCAGGCTGAAAATTTAGCCTGACCACGGTGGGAATCGAAGCGTGACCCTAACTTTTCAGCTTGCCCGGCGTGGATATACACTCAGAGTAACATCAAAAACATTAAACTAACTTTGTTTATACTGGATAGCACCATCAGTTCTAAACTGTCCAACTGTAAGCGCCAACTATGTTATTACAGGAGAAAACATGAGCAGTAATGTTCACTCACCTGCTATTTTGCATGTACATTTTCCTGCCACATATCCAAAACCTGTATTCAAACTACAGCCATTTCCATCACAATATTGACACAATGTATTGCACTTAAAACTGATGCCGCCACATTGGCCATTTGTACATTTATCTGAGCGCGTGCATTTCTGCCGATCATCACAAGATATTCCATTTCTGATTGTCCATGCTGAAGTGGTTGTACTTGGATTGCACCACTGAAGGAATAGATTTTTCAATTGGTACTTTTAAATAGCTAAATCAGTGCTTTGAGAAGCTTGTATTTTCGCAGAAAATGATTTATTCTATTTTCTTCGAATTGTAATTTGGATATCACGTTGAAATATTGCTTTAACAGCAAACGTTGAATCATATAACAAGAGTTTGTTAATCACAAAATCTGAGAGGCAAATTGCAAACGACCTTCCGCATTCTCTGATTTTGCGATTTACGGCATCACGTAATGTAATTTACTGTTTTCAGCAGAAGCGATATCTCAACGGGTTTATGTATCGACGATATGCGAATGAGTGAGAAAGTAGAATAATTATGTCCGTGATTTCTGGCCATCTAGCCAAACATATTCTCCAGTTTTGTTTTTTGCTGCGCGCGATATAAACAAGACACAGGTTTTGAGAGAATTTAACTGTTTTTTACCCTACCTGACATGAGTTCCCGGGTTTTGCCGTATTCCCGCGGTAGCATGTGTCTACATTGTTGGTCTTGATGATACAGTATCCAGACTTTAGCCTGCACGCGTCGTTGTAGTGATCTTGGCATGGCAGACACGTGTAAGGTTGTCCACGACATTCTCCATTAATACAACGATCGTTTCTTGTCTTCACGTTATTATCGCTGCATTTGAGGTTGTTGTTTGCCGTCCATCGTTTTGGGTTGTTACTGTTGCATTGCTGGAAGAATAAATGTTATAATTCGTTTTGAGCAAACCTTGTAATTGGACCTAATGAAGTCTCAATCACCTACCTACCTAGTACCCACCCAACCGCCCACCAACCCGCCCAATCACCCGCTTACCCAACCATACCTAATTACCCATCCACTTTCCAATCCACCCACCCACCTACCTACCTACCTACCTACCTATTGTTACAAGTTTGTTCACAAGCTGTTATGAATAGTAATTCTGCGCTAAATTTGACCTTTTCTTCGATAATATACACACAAAACCATTTTATTGTACACAAAATACGAAAAACAATACACTAATAAATTACTGGCAAAAAATGTTTTCGTGATACGTCACAGTGATCAAATTGTTCACGTGCGTTCCAAAGTTGCGTAATCCTTATAATAACAATGAATAATAACAATGAATCTTTATAACACTCCCCAACGTTGAGTCACTGTACAAGTGATCAACAATACTCCCCAATGTTGACAATAATCGATAAAATATGAATATATACATTACTGCAATTACGTTAAGTTTCTTAAGTTTTTCAGATATGTTTCAGTTGTTCGGCTCTTTTAAGCTCTCCGATGACCGCCGCCATACGCCGTGGACGAGTATTTAACGATACAGGCGGTTCGCTAATTGTTGCTTCCGATTTATTCTTGACCTCGCTAAGCGGTTGCTTCACTTCGATTGGAATCAGGTGACTAATCGATCTTCGGAGAAGTTGCGCTTTGTCACTCTTGCCACCTAACACTTTAACAACAGCTGCTCGAACAAGGTTATCTTCTCCATGTAAAAGTTGCTCAACCTTGGCTAGCTTCCAAAACAGCGACTCGTTTTATCGTTCCTTAAAATAAAAATGTCACCGATTGAAATATTATCCGTCTTGTTATTTCTTGCCATAACTCTAGATTGTTCACGAAGTCCCAACAAATATTCAGTTCTCCACTGCTTCGTAAATTGCTGAATTAGGTTTCGGTGGTGTCGTGCTCTTTTCGTTAACGATTGATGCGTGCTAATAACTTCATAGTGTTGGCTATTCGGCATAGTGGTCATACGACGTCCATATATCAGGTGTGAAGGACACAAGGGTGACGTGCAGGTTTCGTCGTCGTCGAAAACATAAGTTAGTGGTCGCGAGTTGATCAGCCCTTCGATCTCCACCACAAGCGTACTCAGCTCTTCATACGTTAGACTTGCTCTTCCGATTACCTTCTTTAAGGGCCTCTTTATGCTTCGAACTAAACGTTCCCAGAAACCGCCCCACCAAGGGGCTTTCTCAACAATGAATTGCCACATTATACGATTATTAGATAGGTAGCGCCAAACTTCCTCTGCTCGACTTAAATTTCGGATTTCCTTGGACGCT